ATATATATATATATATATATATATTAGGTCTATGCATATGCACGTGCATTTTCTTTGCTTTGCCAATATAAATAAGTATTATCAAAGAATCATTCAATCAATCGTTTGAGGGTGGGTCCAGAAGACGCGGGTTTATCCCAACCCCCCAAAAATAAAGAAGAAAGAGAGAAGAAAGACCAGAAAGAAGGGAGCATGACGTCACTGTAGGCTTACTCCAAAACAACCTATTTTTTTTTAATGTTCGTTGTCTCCACCATTTCTAAACAAAATTCTCTCTATATATCTGTCCTTATGGGTGGATGGATATATTTGGTGTAAACACCAAGGATAACCCACAAAGGTCGGAAGAATACTTGTTTCCAGTGAGGCCCTTCTGGTGGTGATTGGGCACTGCACCGGCAGTGGCCTAACGATGGGCCCGGGACCCTGTGGTTTTCTGAGACTGGGGTCCCCTTTTTGATCCGGTCACCACTTTGATTGTGGGAATTTAAATTTGCTCGTTTTTCTAATATTTGGCATTGTATTCTAGATTGCTTTTAACAACAAAATAAATTATATATCAGTTGCAGATTTAGGTATTCGAAATAGAGGGAATGTGGGTAGGGAGGGACTTTCACACACATATTCCACCTCAGCCCCAACATGGTTGGGGCTAAGGTAAGATCATTTATTAATACGGCACCTCAAAGTGGCCGGAATTGGCACTCATAGATTTAAAATGCGAGTATAATTTCCATTTTTAAAACAATTGGAAAATTGTAGGGGGCCCAAGGCCGACAAGAGCCCCCATTAAACCTTCACGAGATATACTATGATATATGTCCTACAGTCGATCTCGGAGACACATTATGCTGTTATGTATCAACAAAGCCCTTTTAGGTAAGGGTGCCCGAGCGACGACCCTATGGGTTGGGGCACCTTCGGGGCCCTAGGTGACGGGGGCCCTGCGGACCGCCGCATAAGAGCGCATAGTCGTTACACCACTGTACATCGGGAAACAATTTCCTACTCATTTCCAATTAGTATACTGCGTTCTTTAAAGGCCATAATGCACACGGAACCAACAGGTTAAATGTCTCATCCGAAAGACGGTGCGCTATCGTAACTTGCATTTCAGCCCTCCAACTGAAATACAAGGAAGAGCAGTGATGGGAATTCAATACACTACATCATTCCTAAAGCCCCTTCCAATTTCCATCTCAGAAAATTTACAGAATTTATCCTCCAAAAATGCTAGAAAGGACTCCCTGTACAGGCGAATGCTTTGTTCATTTTTAAGTCAGTAATTAAAATAACTATAATAATTTCACTACAATAATTATAATTACAATAATTACAATAATAATAATAATAATAATAATAATTTTAGTATTAGTTGCCTTTTTGCCCTTTAAACCTGTTTCCTTTTGCTGTTATTGTGATGTGGGTCTATTTGTTGAAAAATGTTTAAATGTTGATTGTTTAGAGTTTTCTGCTTGAACCCTTTACTTTTGTAAAATTCAACCCATTTTGAGTGATGAATAAAGAATGATTTGATTTTATTTAAATCGGAGACATAGAGATCCCCACGTTTTAGCGCACACAGAGGCTACCACCAGTTTATGCAACTGAGCTAAGCTGCTCTGCTACCTGGTTATAAATCTATAAGGTACCATTCCAATATTTAATAATAGGCATTACAGTAACACTATTAAAATTCAGGGACGGACACAAATTTACTTTCGCCATAATATATTGTACAGCAAGCCTACGACTTCTGGATCACTTTTTCTTCAGGTCATTTAATAGGCTTGAAAATATCAATATAAAGACGTTTGAGTAACACAATTCATTGATTGTTTTTAAAAAAGTGTTACTTTAATACCAACAAATATGTTGCTCTGAAACATGATAAGGCCAATCTGAATAAAATGACCCGATCGTCCTTTAAGGTCCAATTAATGATGTTGCAGGCGTTTATCATCCGAATATCTGAATTATTAGTAGTAGTTATGCAGCCGTCCGGGGCTCATACATTTTGAAAAAAATTAAAAGAAAATATTTTGTCAATAGCGGTTGTATTATTAGATTGCTCTGTAGTAATAAGTAGGGGCCCATCGCCTGTCAGGGACTCATTTAGACATGGAGGAAGTAAGCGTTTCCCTAGAAAGCACACAGGCATTACATAACTGGTCAAACCTCCATAGTGGGGCATCCAGGGGCATAGTTAAAGAACCCCTCCTAATAAATCTGCCAAATATTGTGTTTGTGGGATCTTGGTCTATTTGGTTTTTTTCGGAAATTATAGAAAATGTTACGTATTGTTAAGGCGTTGTAGGAGAGTGCTGAGTATCAGTGTTACTGTAAGTAAAAGTATCTAACCCTCTCCAGGGCATATTTGAACTCGGACTTCGCCCAGAAAGCACATGCGTTACTTATGGCTTGGTAGTCATGTGTTAGGTAGTAGCAGGAGCGCCAGCCCCCCCCCCCCCCCGCCATTCGAGAGCTCACGAGTTACGCAAATGGGTCCTGTTTATTTTAATATGATATGCCATAATTGGACTTTATGGGACAGTAAATGAAACCCTACACCGTTTCTGATATATAAACTGCAATACATTATTCAGCATCGGAAGAGCTTTCCAACGATACCACCAACACGACTATTTTTTGGTGAGTTTATATACCGTACTTATTCTTATTTTATACACATTTTAAATATATTTTGCGGATATTTTGAAACAAATAAACACCTATTTTTGAATTGTGTGTTCCATTCTGGCATGAGTGACAGTAGTTTTTAAATGTCTGGTTTGTTGCCTGTATAGACATTATGATTTTAGTCACCAACATCATCTGTAGCTTATTTAGTTCCAATTATATGCACATTTTAGATAAATTTGGCGGCCATTTTGAAAAATGGCCGCCATTTGTATACCAGGTGAAAAATCAAGTGTCAACAGGGCTTAGGATGACCAGGACGGATTAATTAGGATATCTGGCTATGTTGAATGCTTCTAACATTCCATATACAATACAACTGAAGAACTCTTTTTTTTTTTCTAAGAGTGTAGGTTTGTCAGTGAACCTACGCCTGCATCCTATTATTTGAGCCTTGCTTACCGCTCTGTCGAAAATAAGAAACTATTAATGAGTTTATTGCCGAATCAGGAAGGTTATTTTTTTAAACTATAGCTTCAACAATCGTCACTACTTCGAAAGTCCAGAAAAAAAGATGGCGTCCTGCATTATACTGGAAGATTGAATAGATACACCTTAAAACAATGTAAATCATCATCATGCGATTACTTTTTTTAAATTTAATATAAATATAACCACACCTCTCCCCCACAAAAAAAAGGACCCATAAAAAAGCCTGTCAACCCACGCATATCCACATGACCTCGGCAATCCCACTAATGATAAGCCTGTTACGCTGGTCACACAGCTGTTCATCAACAGAAGAATAATAGTAAAATAGTATCAAAAAGTACAAATTGATTAAAATGTGCACAAGATACTCCTTAACAGTTTGCAAATTGTCCGCGCTTCTTAAAACTGTGCAACAATCTCCTTGCACAGTTTGCAAACTATGCAGAATCTTGCAGAATTTTAAAATTGTGCAAAGGAATCATTGCATTTTCAATTCAAAGGGGATTTCACAATTTTCACATTTGTGCACGACAGTGACAACAATCAACAATTCATTATCCCACTAGCAGTGAAATGCGTGCTCATAAAGTAGGCTCAAATTAATTGACGATTTTAAAAAAAAAGGTTGAACCATGAAGATATAAAATAATACTTCCACGGTTTGTACATGACGGACATTTTTTTTCTCTCTGATGGTGGCAAAGAAATTATATAGCAGAAGATTTATATATATATATATAT